TTCCTCCCCCTACTCAACCTTCCTGGTCTTACATGTTCTCCTCTCCTCCTCTTCTCTTTCTCCTAACTTCCTCTCCTAACTTACTCACTGCCCCACCCCTTCTCCCAATATGCTCAGGAGATCTTTTATCTTTCCCCTTCTGTGGGGGACCTTGTGTGAATCTCTTAGGTACCCCCTTGTATCTAAGCTTCTCAGGTGGTATGAACTGTAGGCTGGTGATGCTTTGCTCTGTCTAAAATCCATATATGAGTGAGTACATACCATGTTCCTCTTTTTGTGACTAGGTTTCATCACTAAGGTTAGTTTCTTCTAGTTTCATCCATTTGCCTGTGAATTTCAAGATTCCATTTTTTTGTTTTTGTTGTTTTGTTTTGTTTTGTTTTCCACTGAGCTGAGTAGTATTCCATTGTGTAAGCATCTCCTCTTTTAAAGTATTTATCTGAAGTCTTTTGTTGATTATGATGAAAATTTAACTAACATAATGGCTAACAAGTTTTCTGAAATGTTTGATTACATAAAACTAATTTTGCCATGTTGATGTTCCTCATAATGATCTGGGTAACTCTTCTGTAATAGTTTATCTATCAAGATGGTGATTGTTTTGGGTGACAGACAATACTTTTCTTGAAAGTCATTGTCAATTGTCAGTTGCTACTGCACTTTTAGATGTTCCCTGGATTGAACACTTGCACATCACAAAGCCATGTCCCCACTTAATCTACTGAGAAGTATTGGCCAGTCCTCTTTATCTTTCTATTCTAACTTTGAGAAATTAGAAAATATACCAGGCTCCACACATTGCCTTTCTCAGCATTCATGTCCAGTATGTTTTGACTAGAAAAGAAATCTCTTGAGTTTTATTCTGACAAAGGCAAATTGCTCTTTCCCAGGAACAGTTGCACCTGGGGAATTTCCAGTACTCCAAATTGTTACAAGTCAGATTGTAATTTGTTACTGGGAGCTTTGGCTTCATAGAGCTTGGACTGGTTAGATTTGTTTGTCTCGGGAGTCCCTGTTAGTCCATGATGTGAGTATGGGGCTTCTTTATTTTTGGAAAATAGTTTTGAAAAGCCATTCTTATATTTGAAATTGTGCTTTTCGATCATATTTTGGCTCTATTTTCTCTGTGTGATCATCTGTGGTCTTCTAATTTCTGATTAACATCAGAATTTTGGAACTGCTCAAAGTTAGTTATAACTCAGTGTTACATGTCAATAGCTAAGTCTAAGGCAATGTTCCTAGACAATCTATATATCGCCATATATTAGTCTGAGACCTTGATCAATTCACTTCTCATTTTGATATGTCCTTTTCTCTAGATTATTCTATAAAATTATACTTCACTGAATAAAATTCATAATCGTACATATAATTATGATATATAAATATCACATATATGTACATATGAGACTGAAAATCTGTCTGCGGCATTAAGAGAGCCACAACATATATATGATAAAACCTAGATATATACAATAAAAATCTAGAAATAGCTACTATACAATAAAAATCTAGAAATAGCTACTCCTATGATATTGATATAGAAATGGTTAATCTGTTCTCATTCATCCAAGAGTATGAATGTCTTGAATTTCTGTCACATAGTTGTGAATATATATGTATATGTGTATGTGTATACATGTATATGATATATGAAAATTTAAGTTGAAAATTTTGTAACTTGAAATTTTCAAGTTATACTATAACAGTGTTTCTCGATGTTAAATACTGTCTTGGTAGAATTTTATTAGTGACATCTTTTATCTTGCAACATATTTGCTTGTTTCAATGTTCCCTATCTTGCTTCTAGTTTTTGGTTCACAATCATAGAGCTATCTGTTTTTGTACTTCCTTGGTTGTATCTTTAGGATAAATAAATAGTTCTTTATAACCCAACATTACAATGAAATTCTTTTTCAAAGGACAACACTTTGATATGGTATGGTAGAATGACTTGTTTTATAGTGTATTAAGTAAAATCAGCTTCTTGGATTTTTCATGAATTAAAAATTGTAGTTTCATACAACTTTTCTAGAATTAAATGCAGAGACAGAAATGACAGAGGCACAAGACTACTGAGGAAACAGTTCGAAATTGCTAGAGAAACAACCTCTCCTTTTTACGTGTTTCAAAGAAGACCAGAATTGGTAGAAGTTTGGAAATTTGAGTGCTTTATGCCCTGATTATTTAACTTTCACAAAACAGATGCAAGACAAAACAAAAAGCAATGGTTCCCTCTAGAATTGGGTACAGTCTGTTCCATCACCTCCTTTCCCATCTCTCTCAATCCTCATCTTCAGCTTGGGGCTGATGACTTCCTTGTTTGGATATGATTGATATAAAACTCCAGAGTGACCCTAGGTTCCTGTGTCCCCAAACATGAAATTGAGCCAAAACACACAGTTGGATCCGAAGCAGAGATTATTTTCTTATAGAAAATAAAACTTATGAGGGAGAAAATGAACTGGAATAGGAAGACAGTTTATCTACTTAAAGGGATTAGGCTCTCTGACTCATTGGCACAACACAGACTTTTCTGTGTGTGTTCTCTCTTGTGTGTTCTACTGTGCATTATACATGTGTGCATCTTAGATTTCTACCAAGACTGCCTGTTTTGGAATTGTAATAGTTTTGGAGGAAAATAATAAGACTGGTGCTACACAAAGGGAAGCAAGAACAAAGTGAAAGTAGGGTTTTTGTTGTTGTTATTGTTGTTTTCTCTGTAATAAGAATGTGTCAGAAACCAAACTGGACTAGTAAGCACAATGGACCAAAATGGCCTTTGCCTCCTACCCATGACATAGGTTGTGGCTGAGTCTCACCACACTTGGGGTAGCTCAGCTTCACACTCTGATGAGTATGGGTAATCTGCATGGGAGAGGGGCAGGATTTGGAACCTTGTTGGCCTTCTTACCTTTGATAGGAAACAACAATGACAACAAATTGTTTTTTATAATTACAAGTTGCCTTTAGAAACTCTGGAATCCCTCTACGACTGTTAGGAGTAGCATCTGCTCTTTTCCAACAGATTCTTCCCCCATGTTCTAATTTCATAAGGCTTTGTATAAGGCTCTCTGGGACTCACCTCCTGTCCTATTTTTACCTGCCAGGTAATGAGGACAAAATTCTAACTCTAGCCTACCCACCATTACCTTTGACTCATCTTCATTCCCTTTAACCAAAAAACACTAGGAACATACCATTCCTTGATTGTTTGGATGTTACACTAGTTTTGTGTTTAATGAAGAGAAATACATCATGAGAAATCATGAGGTATTGCAGTGCAAGTGTACTAGAAAAGAACATAAAACTGTGTGAGCTGCCTGAGAATGAAGCACACAGGACTATAACTTGCTTGGGCTAGGAAACGTCACAAATATTTGGATAGTTGTTCTTTTGCCTCCATGGTGGCAAGATTGTTTCCCTGCAAGGCATAATTCCCTACTTCCTCATTAAAAGGCCACAGTGGTGACAGTTCTAAAGCCAGGAAATCCCAGACAAACTGGGAAGATGGCTGGTCTCATCTGAAGACAGGAAAAAAGACACCACTCCTGGAACTGAAAGAAATAGCAATCACTCGTACCAACCAGGACTGGGGAGGGTCAGTCACCTTTGATGAATGGATACTGTTCTGTTTGCAGAATAAAGCAGTCTATGCCTTGATGAGAGCAGAGTGGCCTTGTCTGGTGACACAAAAGTGTTGTTCCTCTTGCAAGGCTTCCTGCTAGAAAGCCAAACTCTTTTCACTTGCCCAAGCCAATTTCTGTAGTTGACTCCTTTTCCTTTTGCAATTCCCTTTGAGGTGACCCTAAAAGTTAAAGATGTCACCTCATTCTGAGAATCTTAATTTCAACCATATGGTCTGAATAAAGACACGTTGGGTTTTGAAACACTGAGGAGTTTTTTTAAAGTTCATTATTTAACACATTTTTTTTCCTTTCCACTGAGAACAATGTTCAAATAACTGAGACTACATGCTGTGACGAGGTGTTAAACTAGATGAACACCAGTCACTTCACCCCTCTTTAAGTTCTGAAATTCACACTAATGTGTTTCATTGTTCCTAGAATTCCCATGAAGAACTTGTTTGAACTGAACCACTTATTTTCCACAGGACACTTAAACATTTTGATGAACACCCACATTTCGTTATTTTTATTTACATATGTGAATATGTATCTATGTTAGTGTATGCACATATATGTCAGTTCCAAGGAGGCCAGAAGAAGTTGTCAGTGCCCTGCAGCCAGTATAGGCAGTTGCAAGCTTCCTGATATGAGTACTGGAAATAAACATGGGTCCTCTGAAAGAGCAGTAAGGACTATAACCCACTAGGTGACTCAGCCAGCCCTGTATTTCACTACTACACTTGTTTCCTAGTGTTATCTTACTTAATAATTGTTTCATAATTATATTTTAACTCAGCCTATTCTGGAACTCATTATGTAAACCAGGTTGGACTTGAACGTTTAGCAATACATACCTTTTTTTTTTTTTTTTTTTTTGTTACACACACTGGATTTCAGGTATAACAACAATTACCAGCTTACAATTAGTATTTAAAAATTAGTGTATATATATATATATACACATATATATATGTGTGTGTGTGTGTACATATATATTGCATATATATGCATGTATATGTTAGTACTCTGGCTTAGATTGCTCTAACTGAAATTTTTCTTTATAATTTTTAAGGAAAGTAAATTTTCTAATATTCCATTGGTTTATTAATAGCAATAGGAAAATGTGACATCTGAAATTTCTATGAGCATTTGACCAGCATATGAACATATAATCATATAGCTGATGTGACTTAGTCATAAGTGCTATAATAGTATTGAGTCAATAAATACTATTTTAATGAATATGATGCTTATTTCAACTATCCTAGGCTTAGCTTCTGTACTTATGAAATCTATTCCACACCAGTTTTGTTTGTTTGTTTTTGTAGTGGATGGAATGATAAAAATATGTATTCTTGCAATTTTTCTGAGGTACTGAAGACTACCTTGAGGTCGGCATTCCAACAGAGCCAGAAGCAAAATATTCTGAGGAGACAAGTGGACAGGAGGAAGCTGATGATCAAGAAGCTTCTGGAGTATCTGTGCCTCTGGCTCTGGTACTGCCTAAGGAAATTCCATGTGAGGTTAGTGTTGATGCCTTTATTACAGAGTCTGTTGCTTTCACAGGCACTGAATTTCACTGTGATGTAATTTGCAATTAACCTAGCATTTTGGTTTACTCTTTATCACAACTACAGTGTCAGAAACTAGAATAATATCTAGCAACCAATAGGCATTTGATATATCTTTGCTGACTAATTGGACAGCTGACTAATTGGAGAATCTCTAAATGCTTAATTTTATCAACCGTGACTTGACACTTTAAGATTATACATACATTCTACATATATTAATCTACTTTTAATAACTTTACTTCACAATAAGCAGGTAAATATTTAAGTTTCCAAAAAAAGGGAAATCCACTATTGAATAGAACTTAAAATCACTTATTTCTGAGAACCTCTTTAAAATTATAAATGTATTGTTGAATGAAGACATCGTACAACCTGGGAGAATTAATCTCTCAGGAATAAGAGTGCAGTTAGAAGGAGGATTTGGAGAAAGCAACAACATGGAAGCATTTTTGATACTTCTTCTATGCCTTTCTTGGACTGACCCACTAAAATGAACCACTGGAAGAGTTTGAGCCTCGTTGCTGGACCTCAGTATCTGTGGTGTCCTTGAGTAAGAAGGGACAACAGTATAGAGGGGCCTTTGGGAGATGCATGAAAAGGGTCCTTCTGGAGAAAGCTGGTGGGTTTATATGACCTGACATCAGGAGGTCTCTGATGACTGCTAATGGTTGATCCCTAACCCTGTGGCCCGAGAAGCTGAACATCCTGTAGGATTGCTGAAGTTTAAATCCTTTGCTTCCACCCTGCAGACTGTTGGGACAGAAGTATTGTTCCTTTAACTCACTTTACTGTCAGTTCTAGAGGAAGGAAATCCACTCAGACACTACCACAGAAGTGCCAGAAATCTGAACTGTCTACTTCTGAGATACCAGACATAGATGCCCAGCAAAGATAAGTTGTCCCATGGGTAAAAGACTAGGTAGCATAAGTTGGGGAGAAAAAAAAACTGAAAAGTCAAAGCTGGCAGCTCCTATGGCATCAGAAATAATGGAAGAAACAGGAAAGAACTGTAATAAAAGCAATGTGATCTAGTTGAGACTAGATGAAATCAAAGTAGGAAATAAAATAACTCTAAGAGTAAAAATAGCTCCCTAGGAGTTATGCAATGAGTTTAAATAGCTTCTTTTAAAAATATCTGCAACAGTAAAATTTGAGCATTACAAAACACTCCCCTTATTAATCACAGAAAATAAAATTGAAGTCCAATAGCAAACTTCGGTTGTTCTTAGGCAGACATTCCTTATGCAGATGACTAGTCAACAGTCCTTTCAATAGAGCAGCCATGGGCTTTTAAAATCTTTTTATGGATATAGATAGAATTTTTTTCAGGCCTTATAAAGTTAAATTATTTCAATATCAAATCCATCTTGAGAACTCCACTTTCTAAAAAACCCTAGAAGTTAAAAGATCATATAAAATATTTTAAATCCCGCATTATGCTCCAACATTTCAGAATAATTTCATCTTTTGGACCAAAAATAGTTATCCAAATGAATCTTGGGCTCTCAGTAAGTAGATCTTCATACAGTCTGAATCCATACACTGTTGCCAAGTACCACAGAGAAGACCATTTGGTTCCAGCTGAGTGAAAATTGTGTTTCTGGTTTCCCTGGAGAATGTTCTGTGCATGCCAATTGTCTGAAATGACAACCTTTGAACTTCGCCATATTTCTAAGAAGTGTTCTAGTTAGTGGATGGGCAAAGAGCAGAGAGCAATGTCTCTTCTCCTTAAAACGTAACAACAGAGGCATCTCTGGAATCCTAAAAGTTCCAGAACTTATCAATGCTAACTCTGACAGTTTCTAGGCAATTGGAGATGGGTCTTATTCACACCTGGCCATGTTGTAGTTCTGTGCTCCCATCATGCTGACTTGAACATGTGTTCAATATGGATACAGTCTTCCTTCCCTATGATAAAGGTTAGTTTGTCCCCCTCCCCCATGGCTCCTTGTTGCACAATTGCTGGGTCTGTGCCTGCTGTGGCAATTTCTGCTCACTCTCTGCTCTTGTTCTTGAGAAGCAGCTTTTGCAGATTGTTCACTGAGGTGGAGCTTTAAGCTGTTTGCTGCCTGTGATCCTGGGAGCTGGGAAGTATTGATCCTTCTGCTGTGTAACCTTTCCCAGACCTTTCTTTCCATAGATTATCAATTTCCTAAGCCTTGGCAATCTTGTGCTTCTTCAAAAAACAGGAGAAAATATTATTTTTTTCTCTTTAGCATTGATCTGTTGTTCTAGTTATATGGGTTATTTATTCCTACCTCTTTGAGAAATAAATAAGTATAGGTGTATCCTTTTTTAGCTTAAACCTGGTTCTCGATAAAGCCTTTCTTTAAGTTTCTGTGGGATTACATATTTCATCCTGTTTTAATATTCTAAGACTCTTTTACTTGTTTATTGGTCAGGACACTCTGGATTTTGTATTGTGGAGTCACAAATGATAGGCAATATAATGTTAGGTGTGCCAGAGGTATCCATTGTTCAAAGAGTGCATCCATTCTTACCTTCCTGATGACATCCACATAGAAGGCATTAGCTCAGCGGTGGCTTATAGATCAGCATTTGCTGTCCACGGCTTCAAAGATGTGACTCTATAAAAGTCTTTGGCAAATTCCTATGGGGTAGTGGTTCTTCACTGGGAAGAGTTGTGCCTTTCTTTTATGTGGGGGAGATGCAGGCAGTGTTGCAAATACCTCTGATTATCACAGTTGCTACTGACATCTGGTTGATAGAAACCCTCAAGCTGCAAGAATTACATAATGCACAAGGCATCCTCATGGCAGTGGCTTCTCCAAAGTAGCAGCCCTACCCAAGTTAAGACCTGTCTCCGAGTGTACACCTACAACAAATGAATCACCCTCACTTCTGCCCGATGGTGGCACCAAGAACTCCAGCTCCTTCCTGTGAAGTTGGCATAGTTGGCCTGTAGTCACTTTATGGGAGATGCCTGATCTTTAATAGTGATTCCATTCACGCCTTTCACACATTTTATACAAAGCTTTCAGAAGTATTGCAGAGTCTGTTTTCTGAACACTCACCTCTCCTATATTTCTGAGTCCCTACCAAGGGTCTGGTAAGGATGTTTCTATTTCCTTAGAAGCACCAACCTCTTTTCTTCATCTTTTCTATGTGTGTAGAAGATACTTCATTTTTCATCATCCTTCCTTTTTCCAATTCTTTCTCTGCTGTTATGAGACAAATAGGTGTCAACTGCAGAAGCCTGTGCAATAAGTGTAGCAAGTCCCATGAACCTATGTTGCATGAGCTGGTATCTTTTAAAATAAAGTAGTTATGGATGTATGAAAAAGCTGTAGGTCATATTCAAAAGCCTTAGTGAGCTAACAGTGACCTAATGGGATCTCAACCTTTTTCCTGTGTTTAAATTTCACCACAAAGATCCAAGCAAAACCCACTACATATATGTTTTATTATAGACCAAATTGCACTCAATATTTTTTGAAATCTTAAGTTTTGTGAATAGTCCAGCAGCCTTTAAAGTTTATAAGTAGTAATGATTATTATTACTACTTATTAATTCTTAGAGGCACAAACACTGGAGTAAAAAACGTAAAAAACGTGAAGCCCTAATTGGTAGCTTCATAATAGATAGAAATATGTTTATCATGTATGAACATCCTATAACTTTCTCCTTTAATCAAATGTACCCATGCAACTAAAGACAGATCTCCTCTCCTGAGTTAGGCTGTTTACTGCAGGGAGATGCAGGGATAACTAAAGCCCAGCCCGGAGGGTTGTAAGGAATAGAGTCAAGCATACTCAAGTCAAAGCTGTGATGCTTTTATAGAAGTACTCCATTTAAATTTTTAGAACATTGGAGGATCTTTTATGGCCATAATGCTCAGAAGTTATGAGAATGATATTAAGATTTTAAAATGCTATCAGAGTATTTTGGACGAAAGAGAACTAACAACGAATAGAATGCTTGGCTTGGTCACGGCTGGATGCCGATGTAGACGTGAATATGTTTATGCTTTTTAGAAAGGTCTACGATTCTTGCAGGCTGCAGTTAGAGAGCAGATGCTTACTATAAAATCTGGCTTGGGCTTTGGTGGAAAAGGATAGCTATAAGGAAGCAGAGAAAGAAAAACCAGATCTGCAAGGCTACAATCACCCTTAAGCAGGACTAGCTACTTAGCTTGCAGTGCAAAATGAATATGAAAAGCTCCTTGGTTTAAATTAGTTAGCATTTCAAGTCAATGACAGCAGAACATTGAACCAAGGGCAAGGCTTTGTAAGCCCCTTGTGACTGTGCAGGTCGTGGACCCAAGAAGCCAGCTCAGGGTACAAATGAAGATGCAGATACTTTATTTAGTGTGTCTTCTGTTTGAAATCTATTTATTTATTTATTTGTTTATTTTTCTGGCAAAGGTTGAAAGATAGAGTCCTGCCCTCTATTAAAGAGGGAATCTGGTGCATAAGAAGCAGCGTTCCCGGGGGCTGCTCGTGAATGAGAATGAGTTGTCTTAGAGAATAAACTGTTTGGTGGGCATGCCTGTGCTTACCAGTTCCCACAGGCACAAACAAGGAGCTACTTAGGTATTGAAAAGAACTCCATATTAGAAGGCTAATAAAGGCTATTTGGGACTAGACCCAAAATGAGATGTGAAGTCATTGTTTGGGGTTGAGATGACAGATGCGAGGTCATTAGACATACAAAAAAAAAAAACAAAAAAACGAAAAAAACATGAGGCCATGGGATTGTGTTCCGTATCTGCTGCCATGGTACATGATCAGGGCAGGAACAGAGATCCTGTTGAGGTGGGACCTGTTCTCTGGGTATAGTTGGTAAAGGTAAAGAGAAATGTAAATCAAGTTTGGATAAATATCTGGGGTATGACTGTGGTGGGCAGTGGCTAAAGTGGTTGGGATTGACATCATTAGCATACCATTTCCAGAAAGACCTGGGTATAACACATTAAGATGTAAGTCTTATTAGTGTGTGGTTTTGCAATGACACTAGAGTAAGAAATCTTTAAATGAATGGCTTTATAATAAATACGATACCGTGAAAGTATATCAACGAGTTTCCTATTTACCGTCAGGGTTAAATTTACTATGACAGCAGCATTTGAGAGATAATATCTGAGACAGTTACAAAATATTTTACTTTCCATGGAATCAGATAGCATAATATGAGGAATAGTGTGGATTTGAAAATTAGATAATTCTTAATTTTTTAAATGTAATCCTAAATTGCTCTGGTTATGAACAGTAGTAGCCTTCTTCATTTCTGGTGTGTGTGTGTGTGTGCATGCCTGTGTGCACGTGCAATAGTACATATATATGTGTATCTGGGTTTTTCAGTTAGGGTTGAAGGAAATATTCTTATATAAAAAGTGTTTACCACAGTTTCTATAAAGTAAACATCCAACAATGTTTATCAATTCCCAATCTTTACATCAACTACAGTCTTCTTAATTGTTATATTTTTCTGGATATAGTTCCCAAAATGTGGTCTTCCTATTTTTACCTCTTCGTAGATCAAACTTCTCCAACATAATTAAATCTTGAAAGTTTCAGTTGTGTAACTTCAGTTATCTCAGAAGAGCCTTAATGGGCCCTTATATAAGCAAAGAATACCCAGAGAACTTCTACTACACAGACTATGGAACTACACAACATTAATATTTTTCATTATATTTTAATTGCAGGAGGCCTTAAAGTTACATTTGTTAAGTTTTTAGATACACAGACACAGAGAGAAATTGAAATGACACTGTTGTTAAGGTTAAGGAAATGTACTAGGGAAAGGAATTGCTCACTGGCTTAATTACTGTCAATTTGTTAGTCTGTGAAATGGGTCTGGTGCCCTGGGGTGGGAAACAATGTGCAGGAAGAGGCAAGGGTACAGGAAGCAACTGTGTTCTCACTGTTTCTCAGTTGCAAAGCATAGTGTAGCTGGAAAAGAATTTGATAGATATCAAAGGAATTAAATATGAAATGCAATGGGTCATGCATCTACATGTTTGCATATTAACATGGTTGAAAATACAAACAGTATAAACGTATTTACCAATGGCTGAAGATGTTGACCACTAATAAATGTCACGGGCACCTTAGTAGAGGTCAACTCTTTGATGTGCTTAACCTATATATTTGACATTACAGAATCCTGGTGAGATACTCATTCTACTGAAAGATGAACTGATTGGTGAAACTCTGGAAGTTGAATTTATATCCCAAAACAAACGCCTCAGAACACGGCCAGAACGTTGGAGTAAGAGTGTCTGGTGTATGAAAGCCGCAGGTGAGACATTTTGTGTTTTAATAATAATAAAACCTCTCCCCGAGTTTCTTTCCTGCGATTTATGATAAATGGTTTCACTTCCCTACAGAAACTGAGTTTGCTCCGCAGGTGCTTCCTGTGTTAGTTCTCACATGTTCAACATTGTTATTATTAATCTGATTTGCAAAAGTGAGATTGTAAATCCTTAGAACTCGGTTTGTATACCATTTAGGGAAATGGCTGCCAGTAACATCAAACATCATTAAATATGTCAGTGGAGAGTACTTTGATACATAGTAGCTATTAAATATGGGATTAAAATTATTTCCTTTATGCAGCATGAGGATTCACAGATTTTTTTTTAAATTTTATTAGAGAACTTTGTTCTTTTCTCTTGTCTCCATTCCAAGCCTTGGGAACGTTTTGACTGTTTTATAAAGCATAATTCTTTTTCAGTATTTTCCAATCATGGTACCATTCTCAGATATTCTTCTCGTCATCTTCTTGTCTCATTTGTGGTGTGAATCATTTGACGACTCATATTTGCTCACTCCATACTACACTGTACTGGATCCCCAACAGTCAGTTTGAGCAACCCATAACTGCTTATATTTCCCACTCCTGGGTATCTAACACCCTCTCCTGACTTCCATAGGCACATAGCCACACACATCTACAAATTAAAAATAGAGACAATAAATATGTTTAAAATATAGGACTACTTGTTTTTGTTTTATGGCATGATTTTATAAAGTCAGAGAAAAAGTTGTCATGTAAAACTTCAAAAACTATTAGCTCTGTAAATTTTCTTACATAAAAAGATATTTAATCTTATAAATGTGAAAATATAAACTATTTATAATTGCAAATTATATTAAGTGCATCCTGAGCTCATTATACAGTTCATATATACTTACAAGCCAGCACTGTTGTTCACATGATTAGCTCTTCCATGGCTTCCTTGCTCAGCTGGCATCGAAGCTGGACTCTCAGAAGTTAAAGCTTTTGTTCCAATAATTTACAAACATCCAAACACTGTTTCCTGTTGTAGAAAATGATGCAGAAATGCAGTGGGAAGAACCCTCTCCATCTCTCTTTTACTTTCTTTTTCCTAGCCCCTATTATCTTATGTCACATTCTTTGTTTTGTTTTTCTAGAGAGGGTTTCTTTGTATTGCTTTGGATCCTGTAGAACATGCTGGCCTCAAACTCACAGAAATTCAGTTGCCCCTGACTTCGGAGAACTGGGATTAGAGGTGTGCTCCACCAACGGATGGCTTATGTCACTTTCTTAAATGTTGTAGTGAATAACACTTTCTAAATAATTAGTTCTAGAGTTCAAACTAAATCTGGTTAAAATAAATCAATACAGAAACATCAGTATTGGAAATTAACAAGTACTTAAATAATATTTCCCAAGTAGCAGATCAAGATAACAAATTAAAGTAAACATATTATTTAAGAATATTTTTTTACTTGATATACCTAATGCTAGGAGTAGAAAGGATAGAAATACACAAAACTTCCTGGAACTATTTGAGGAACATACTTTAAAAACATTTCAAGATATTGAGATGGGCTAAGGTTTTTGTTTTGTTTTGTTTTGTTTTTGTTACAAGATACTTCAAAGTATAAGCAAGAAATGAAAATAATATACAAATGAAAAATTATTTTTAAAAACCTTTAGCACAGCAAAAGAAATGATTGAGAGAGTTAAGAGACAACTTCAGAATGGGAGAAAGTATCTACAAACTATTCAATAAGAGATTAATATCCAGTGTAAGAACTTTGATAACAACAGAGTGGTCCTATTATTTCGTGTGCATTTAGCTTTTTTTTTTTAATTTTGGTATGTTTCATTGTTTTTATTTGCCTGTTTGTTTCTTACAAAGAAAGAAAGGAGGCACAGAATGACAGAATGGGAGGTAGGGAGGAGGTGGGAAAGGGAAAACTGTGGTAAACATATATTATATAAATTGTCAATTAAAAATAGACCAGCCTATCCAGAGTCTGCCTACATCCTAGTCCCACCTCCCCTCGTGGGAGGGGATAAACATGGGCCTGCTTCCAGCCTGCATTCCAGTACCCTGCTCAGAGCCTCCTGAGGACTGGGGATTGTGCACAAGTTACCCTTCCCAGCAGACCAGCCCATCCAGAATCTGCTAGCACCCTAGTTCCACCCCCACCCACAGGAAAAGGAGAGCCTTCAGAGTATTGGACCTGCTTGAACCCACCAGAAGAGAACCTTAGTCCAGTACTCACCAGAAGAGGGAGAGACCCCACCAGTACTCATTGGAAGAAGAGATGGGAAGGCAAGAGTATATGAACACAGTCAATGACAGAAAGATAAATATGATGCCACCAGAGTCTAAGGACTCCACACCAGCAAGACCTCAACATCCTAAAACATATGAAGCAGAAGAGAATAACCCTAAAAACAACATCATGAAGATGATAGAGACCCTAAGAGAGGAAATGAGAAAATCCTTTAAAGAAATGGAAGAAAAGTCAAACCAAGTATTTGAAGAAATAATTCAAACAGTGCAGGGTTTGAAAGCTTAAAAACAAACAATTAAAAAAAAAACACAGTCTGAGGGAATGCTGGAAATAGAAAAGCTGGGTAAATGATCAGGAACCACAGATGCAAGCATGACCAACAGAATACAAGACATGGAAAAGAGAATTTCTGGTGTTGAAGATACACTAGGCAAAATAGATTCATCAACCAAAGAAAATCTTAAGTCCAACAAATCCCTAAAACAAAATATCCAGGAAATATGGGACAGCATGAAAAGGCCAAACCTAAGAATAATAGGTATAGTAGAAGATGAAGAAACCCAACTCAAAGGTGCAGAATATATATTCAACAAAATCATAGAAGAAAACTTTCTCAGCCTAAAGAAAGACATGCCAATGAAAGTACAAGAAGTTTACAGAACACCAAATAGAGTGGACCACAAAAAAAGTGTCCCCTCACCACATAATAATCAAAATGCCAAATATATAGAATAAAGAAAGAATATTAAGAGCGGCGAAGGAAAAAGGCCAAGTAACATATAAAGATAAATCTATCAGAATTACATCTGATTTCTCCATGGAAATTCTGAAGGCCAGAAGGTCCTGAATAGATGTTCTACCAACACTAAGAGACCATGGATGCCTACCAAGAATACTATACCCAGTAAAGCTTTCAATTACTATAGATGGAGAAATCAAGATAATCCATGACAAAACCATATTTAAACAATACTTGCCAACTAATCCAGCCCTATAGAAAGTTCAGGAAGGAAAACTCCAAGCTAAGGAAGTCAACTACACCCACAATAACACAGGCAATAGGTAATTCACTTTACCAACAGCCAAAAGGAAAATGGGGGGAAATCCACACATAATATTACCAACAACAACAAATCCAAAATAAACAAGAGTTAACAATCAATGGTCACTAACATCCCTAAGTATTAATGGTCTTCACTCGCCTATAAAAAGACACAGGCTAACAGAATGGATATGAATACAGAATCCATCCTTCTGTGGCATATAACCTCAAAGACAGACTGTACCTCAGAGGTAAGCGTTGGGAACAGATTTTCCAATCAAATGGACCCAAGAAACAAGCAGGTGTAGCAATCCTAATATCTAACAAATTATACTTTAAACTAAAATGAAAGGAGATTAAGAATGTTATTTTTTATTCATCACAGGAGAAATCCAACAAGATGAAGTCTCAATTCTGAACATCTATGCCCCAAATATACAGGCACCCACATTTGTTAAAGAAACATTACTAAAACTCAAATCTCACATAAAATCTAACACAATTATAGTGGGAGATTTCAACACTCCACTCTCAACACTAGATAGACAGAAACTTAACAAAACAAAAACAAAAAAATAAAAAAATAAAAAACGAAGGAACTTACAGATATTATGGCCCAATTAGGTTTAACAGACATTTATAGAATATCCCATTCAAACACAAAAGAATATACCTTCTCAGTGGCACATGGAACCTTCTCTAAAATCGACCACATACTTGGCAACATAGCAAACCTTGACAGGTACAAAAAATTTGGAATAACCTGGTCCTGTATCTTATCAGACCACCGTCCTTTAAAGTTAGAATTCAACAACAATACAAATTGAAAAAACCTTACATATTCATGGAAAATGAACAATATGCAATAGCACCAATGCTGGGTCAAGGAAGAAATATAGAAAGAAATTAAAGTCTTCATAGAATTCAATGAGAATGAAAACACAACATACCCAAACTTATGGGACACTTTGAAAGCAGTGCTTTGAGGAAAGTTTATTGCACTAAGTGCCCACATGAAGAAACTGGAGAACAGATACATTAGAGGATTAACAGCACAACTGAAAGCTGTAGAATGAAAAGAAATAAATACACCACGGAGGAGTAGACACCAGGAAATAATCAAATTGAGGGAAGAAATCAATAAAGTAGAAACTAGGAAAATAATACAAAGAATCAATGTAACAAAGAGTTGGTACTTTGAGAAAATCAACAAGATAGATAAACCTTTATTCAATCTAATCAAAAGGCAGAGAGAGAGCATGTAAATTAACAAAATCAGAAATGAAAAGGGGGACATAACAAGGGACACTGAGGAAATCCAGAGAACCTTCAGGTCATACTTTGAAAACCTGTACCCCATACAATTTGAAAATTTAAATAAAATGGACAATTTTCTGGATATATATCACTTACCAAAATTAAAACAAGAACAGATAAGCAATTTAAATAGACCTATAACCCCCAAAGAAATAGAAGCCGTGATCAAAAGTCTCCCATCCAAAAAGAAAAGCCCAGGTCAAGATGGTTTCAGTGCAGAATTCTACCAGAAATTCAAAGGAGAGCTAATACCAATACGTCTCAAAGAGTTCCACACAATAGAAAGGGTCATTGCCAAACTCTTTTTTGCAAGGCTATAATTACCTTAATACACAAGCCACACAAAGACACAACTAAGAAAGAGAACTACAGACCAATATCCCCTA